GCTTCAGAGAGCATTTCGAGGTCGAGTCGATGATAGTATAGGACGAGGAAAGGGAATAAACAAATCTCGATCAATAGAATTTCTATTCGTGACTACATATGAAACAAACACATTGGGTCGCGTCGCGCGCGCTGCATACACAAGAGAATGGAGGGGACGTGGGCAAAAGCCGCGACTGCGGCAGCGCTGCCACACAAGTGGTCACGGGACTATTAGATTAGATATGATAGGGTGTCGCATGTCACCCTAATCAAAATACTCTGTGTCATTCCTTATCCTCCTCATCTCGTATATACTCCCTTGCAGAGGCATCTTCAAGTGCTGTTCCATAATTTTCTCCTGGTCTTCTGTCAACTAATGTGCCATCCCTTTCAATGCAACCACTTACTACCAATGGAATCTGGATCTTTTTTACGTTCCAGCAACTTTTCTACAATTTTCTGACATCCCCTTGCAGAGGCAGCTTGAAGTACCATTTTATAGTCTTCTTCACTGACTAGTTGTCTGTCAACTAATGTGTCGTCCATTTCATAGTAACCACTTACTGTTGATGGGAAGATTTACCTCTTTTTCAAGCAAATAAAGCACAATCTCAATGTGCCCTTTTGAAGCAGCCATTCGAAGTGCAGTTTCACCATCTGTACCTGTTGATATATGAGAACTTCCTCCTAATAACACATCTGAACCTTACCCTTTACAAGAACAAATTCAAGAAGGAGTTCAACCAGTTCTCGTTTCCCATAGAATGCTGCCATCTCAAGAAATGTCTCGCATTCTCCGTCAATGTTTTCCATCCTTTTTTTAGGGTTGGCACCCTCCCAAATAAGATTCTGAAGCGGAGCAAGATCCAGTTCACCCCTAGCATCACGCTGGAATAACCGCTCAAATTTCTTTTGTGACTTTTGCTTCTTTTCCCAAGCATCCTGAACGGCATTCCAAATATCTCGTATTGGAATTGCCAGGAGCAAGAGAGGCAGAATTTGCCCAAATCCCCACTGATTCTCCTCTGTGACTCTGTTAGCTTTAAATGTCTTTTCAGTATCAACAATGAAAAGAACGTTGAAACCAAAAAGAGCTGCTAAGCAAACATAGAGCATGCCCACATGGCCCTTAGTGGATTGCCCTTGGCCTGCAGTGGATTGACCTTGCCATGGTCCCCTTGCCACCGGTGTCTGGAAGGACTTGTATACTGCAGTGGATTGAACCCAGTTTAGCATCCCAGTCACTTGTTTCAATTTCCGGAAGAAGTTATACCCAATGTGGAAGAAGAGGAAAAATGCGAAGGGAAAAAGGAGGTTGAGTCCAGGGAAAAAGAGGAGAATATATAGAATTATTGAAATGATGCGCAGGGCTGGTGAGAAAACGTCAACAGGCTTTCCAAAAATTGCAAGAGTCAGATCGCATGTACTAGTCGATGGGCCAAATCCAAATGTCGATGGATCACGCCAAACCAAGAATCCAGCCGAACCCATAAGATACAGATGGATGGAACCCCAAGTGAGGACAGGTGCGTCTGAGACAAGATGCCAAAGGAAGTTGTGAGATGCCCCAACTCGATGATACCGTCCAGACCCTTGATTACTGCCCTTTCCTTTCTCCGTTCCTTTATAAATCTTGCTGAGAGGCTCACAAAGACCCTTTTGCCACCAATCTTTCCATGTTGCCGGAATGGGGGCCGTCTTCCAGTCACCCTTGGTCCGCTGGTGAACATGGAGAAGAAACCAGATCCAGGTGCTGGTATTATTCATCCAGCTCAAGTTGAGAACGATGAGTGTATGGAATAAATCAATTTGTTGTCCTGTCACATTGGCCTCAGACGCTGTTTCGAAAAAAAAAGTTGCGAGGATGGAAAAAGCAGTGATAAGCATTCCGATGGATTGGTCTCTGATACCCGTCATCTCATCAGTTGTAACTTTTCCGTCCAAAAGGTCAAGAAAGACGGGAATGAAGCAAAGTATGTTTTGTGCATAGATAGCAGCCCGAACGCCTATACCAGAAATGTCTGGGTTAGGCTGGATGCAAGTGGAGTTTATGGTACTGCCAGTCGAGTTCATGGTGGTTAGAAGCGAAGAGTGCTTGTGTAGCGTGGCCGTCAAGACTTAAGTGATTAACCTCATGTTTATCTGCCTGTCCTCAGGCGACCAACCTCATATACGCCTGCCTGTACACTGTTGGAACATTATGTTGAACCGTGTTCCTGCATTAATGAACGTTTTGTCAGGGAATGGTCACCTGTGCGCAGTGCTTTGGTCCTATACTTCGGTTTACCTCTCAGGCTACAGGATATATCCGTGGATCTATTACTCTTTTCATATATCACCATCGACAGCATGTCTCAGTGGCGACTTTATATGTACAAATACTTATCGCTTGCTCGGCTACTTCTACGCCACCCATGTATTCTTCCTGGCATTACTCCTGCTCGGATTAGCATCCGGGATTAATGAGAATCCTATAGTGCTTCGGAACGTCAGAGTCCCTGCGAGTCTTTACCTTGTTCGCTGTTGATGGAAATGTTCTGAGCAGAGCGTTGATTATGTGACTCCCTTTGCATGAAGAATGAAGGTATCGCAGAAGTCGAACTTGGGGAATATTAGAGAGTATTCGATAGTGGGTTGTTATTCTATTTCACCTTTTACAACATGCGCTAACACTCGTATACGCCCCTTACCCTGCCGTCACAATGCCTCGTCCGGTTCTTTCCTCTCCAATATTTGGCGACGAGCACCCGAGCTTCTTTCTATTCACTTTCTGGATCACTGCTACTGGCAAAGAAGACAACGATGAGAATGATGGGAAATTCTGTTCAATACTATGACCGAGATGCTGGGAAGTTGGATCTGGACACCGACAAACTTTATGAAGCATACAGCAGACGTTGAGGGTAGAAGGGCGGGACGAACTTGACTTAGACTTACATATTCTAGTCCGAACACTTGTTTGGCGCGTTATCACGCGTCATTGTAATCAGAGAAAGGATATAAATAAAAAATCGTCGCCCTTCTACTTGTCTCCCCTAGGCAAACTCTAGCAAGCAAACGTCGTGGTCTCTACCAGCATATATCTATTGAAACTTTTAATCTATGGCAAGGAAAAAATTCGGCTAGACAGCGCAGTTTGGGGAAGGATAGTAAGTCGATAAAAAATGAGTCTTAAATAATATAGGTTATAAATTTATTGGGCATCTCGTGAAATATCGATAGTATTAAGAATCGTCACTCCGTCAAGCCGAAATTTTTTCTACTCCCAAAGTTTTCATCAGCTGATAAGTGAGAGAGAAGAGTAGCCGCGAGGACTCGCGCGGCATTGTACAAGTCCAGATAGCACATTGTTATGTGGAGGCGACCACCACAAATCCAAGCCCATGCAGTGCGGGCATAGGATTGCACAGAAGCAGAAGGGTGCTCCGGCAACCCCACCGACACATGGGTTAATTTCAGGTTTAATTTACAATCGGTGGCTGACAGACAATGACAGAAGGATGCCAGAAGTTTGGAAGCAAGCGAGAGGCCGAAACGGCGTTACAGGAGCCATAAAGGCCCGAAGAGCGGACAAAACCGGGTACCTTCCTAATATGGCAACAGGATACCAATGCCCAAAGTACACCACTTCGTTCGGGGCTCATGATTAGCTCCCAGTCCAACTACACTCACACCGAGATGAGAACGGATTCTGTCTATCTGGGTGGACCATTTGGTGCTCATATTTCAGTCAATCTTTCGGTACGCAGCTGGAACATCCATTTTCAGTGCAGCTAGAAAACGTGTGCAATCGTATTCAAAGCAAATTTCGAAGCGATCTTTCATACTCGAAGAAGCTACATAAATCTGCTTGAAGTGACCGAGCGATACATTTGCACAACATCCTCTGCTTTCTGTCCGACACCTAATCCGGAAAAGAAAATCACATCCCGAGTACGACTTTGAGTTTTTGTATATGCATATTAAACTCACCTCCGCCTCGATACCAAGATCCCCTGGTTCATTATTCATCACCGTTATATTCGCCCCAACATCGATTACTACCCGCACCAGCGTTCGACTCTCAGCCCTCGCCGCAATGTTCAACATCATATCCAATGCTCATCCTAAATGCACCCAAAATCCCCTCCCATCTTCGTGGCGATCCAATAAAATACTTGATCGAGGTAATACTGTGCAACGACGGCGCAGCCCTTGGCCCCGCGAGAGAGGGCCGACTCGCGGGAGGTGTCGAGGGTGCAGATGGATTGGAGAAGCCAGATTGGCAGAGGTTTGGGAGGGATTCAGCGATGTAAGAGAGAGAGTGTGTGTGTGTGGAAAGGATAGTAGGCATTAGAAGAGTTTCGCCGGGGTGGTTGCCCCAGAAGAGATCTGGGGACAGAGACGCGTGATAGGCGGAGCGAGGAGAATGTTGTTGCCCTGTTTGTGGATGATTTATCGACGTCAATGGCTCAACTATTGTTGGCAGCGTTGATTGGACGAATGGTATTGCGGACATACTATCTGCAGGACATTTGGGATAGCAAGTTGAGAGCCGCGACGAACTATCGGATTACTAGGTAGGCGAGATGACAGCGGTGCGTCGTGTATCTTTGCGAAATGAAGGCGGGCCAATGTTTGGTGCAAAAGTGAGCGGGGGCCGGACTGTGTGCTCTGAATCGAAATAGGCTTTACCTGTCCGAGTTGTTCCGAGAATTGGGTGCTGTGACTATCGGGGGGTGAGGGGAGTAGATTCCTTAGGCTGGGTCAGCCATCCGCACGGCACCAACGGAATGGAGGTCAGGGGGTTCAAATTACTGGAAACGATGGACAAGCAGCTGAAGCGGGTGCAGGACCTGACTACTGCATGCGAATCCGTGCAACGTAAAGAAGGGCGGGAACCTGGCTAGTCTGTCTTGTCATTCACGAAGATTAGGTCGTTGGTTAGACGTCCGAACATTTCCCCACGGCTTCAATCGCCTATCAACGCGTCGCGGAGAAAATATGGAATATACATAGCTCCCATCACAAACATCTTACGGGCTAGTAGTGTAGGGGTTATGGCACTCGCTTTGCATTCTCGCACAGGTTTTCTATTGAAAAAGATCTCCGGTTCAAATCCGGACTAGTCCACTTCTGTATCTCTCGCTGTATTCTTTTTTTTTTTTTTTTTTGTCACTCGACAAGCACTTAACCAGGTAAAAATATATACAGAGAACTATTTTGGTCCAAAGCATATTGATTGAGGTACTGCATGGATTGAACGCCGGAGCATTAACATATAGACTAATAATAATAAAGGTAGCGTTTTGAAAAATAGCGATGCTCAACCAATAAACAGGTCACGCCGCATGGCCATCGAACATACGCGCATTAACTACTACCGCACCATACTTCTGGACTAGTCACCTCACTACTCAGAGCCCCCGTCCTACGCACTTCACACCACTCGCCTCGAGCATATAAACCGCCCTGTATTTAACTACTCATTTCAAGGTGTTTTCCTCTCTTGTGATCTATGTATCGTCAAATACACCCGGACAATCGCTTCGTCTTCGAATATTTATCCAACAAGGAAAAGACAGCCGTACATTGAGCATGGTGAGTAACATCATGGTGGTGATTGCATCCCGCATACATGTATATGGTCTCTCATCCGGACTATAGAAAGGCGTGTCTTCGCCTGCCATTCAATAAACTTCTCGATATACTCTACTCCAAGCGCTTCAATGCACTTACCACTTAAAATTCCACCTGAAGCATATTTTCCGATCTTACCCTTCCGGCCAGAAGCAAATGGTTTTGAGCATCAAATCAGTTTCCATCAATTTGATGCCTCTGGCAGCGTAGACTTGACTTACTTAATGAGGCATGCTATACCTGACTTAGCACCATTCCCTACATTTATTACCTTGACCTACCATGAACATGGCGAGCACATGGAGACTGCCAACAGCGTACGACCTAGCGCATTCACTTTATATGGGAGTGGGAGTGAAAATGAACAATCAATTGCGAACGGTCTGCAGTTCCGAGTCTGAACAGCTTTATCAGAATCATAACCCAGACAAAATTACTCACTTCACGACATCCAACTATGATGCACAAGCTTTCACAGTGTCTTGAGATGCGGTTGCTACTCTCGATACAGCCATAGCGCCTTACCTCATGCAGTACGGCGGGCTCTGAATGACTTCTTGGCTGGAAGAAGCTGGACTCGGACCGACAGATGACACCAGTTCACATCCTCGGCTATAAAACAACGCAGAAAACCAATTAACCAATTTAAAGCTAAGAACTGCCGAAGCGGGCCTTCAGGTACTTTCATTCAATGATAAGAACACCGGTTCCAGGAATATTTTTGAGGAATGAGAAGAACTTTGAAATGTAGGAATGCAAATAATAATGGTTCGCGACTAGTATAGTTAGATAGGCGAAGTTGAAGAAAGCTCAATAAAAATCAAAGAACGAGAAGATAGTGTGCCAACGAAGGAGTCAATTTAACTAAAGGACTATGCGAAAGCATAGTACATATATGATGAGATCCTAATGGAAAAAAAAGGGTTAATTGAGTGGGTAGTAATAGCTGATGAGTGCACACAGTACTACAGTAAGATCACACAGATTAAGAAGGGGGCAAAATCAGCACTGGTATTTCTGGCTAAGTCCAGGGAGCTTATATATAATCCTGACTACCTAGAGTATAAATAAAGTAAGTGCCTACTGCGAGAGAATATGATGTCGAGTAAAAAGCAGTGGCATAGGAGATACACCAGTGGTAAATATTGTGAGACCACAAGGGAAAATGTTACATACAGAGTACAGCTAAATAAAAGTTGCGTTAATAATACAGTTAAAATAACCCAAGTTAAATATACTTTTCCAACAGATCCTTAATCTGGTATGAAGACCAAAATTTACAGGAATGAGCAATGATAAATACCAGTGTATAGTAAGCATCAAGAAATCCTGGAACTGTTAGAAAGGTCGGAAGATACAGGAATGAACAACATCAAATGTTTAGCAAAAATCTGGATTTTGATCAGGAGATTGTAATGCCTAGGCAGCCTCAGGCACCAAAGCAACAAAGCAATTTGGGACCTTTGAAGGCCCTTTGAATGATCCCCAGGGAGGGGCTCGAGGACCGCCCAGGGTTCGAGGTGTGTCTCCTGGAAGCCTTGGTTTCAGGTGGCTTTGCTGATGCAGGAGTAGTGAAGGTAGGAATAAATGGGAAAGCAGGAGTATCGGACCCTCGAAAACATGCGGCCCAGTTGTCACCATGAGCAAAACCACTCAAATCCAAAGATGCCTGATGCATCCGATAAATGAGAAGTTTCATAGGAGGAATAGTAAGCCCGAAACGGTACTCAGGAGGAACATAAAGAAGGAGGGAAGAGTCAGAGCCCAAAAGCCATTCACCGTCACGGAGAACATGCTGAAAGGGCTCATGAGAGTGGAGGAGAGAATGCTGGGGATGCCATGGACAAAGAGTGAACGAATATAAAGATTGAGAAACAGGAGATGGTGTGGGGAGTGTGAAAACGGGTGTTTGTTCATCTGAGGCCACAAAATCGACCAAGTTTTCCTGACCTTGGGGCAAATCAGCTGCATTAATCCTCCCTTTACTTGGAGGGAAGGTGACTACACTTGTATGTCTTTGCAGGTGTTCCACTAGAGAAGGTTCTATCTGAGCTGTATTCCATAGTCGTACTGATCCCTCTAATCCTGCAGACACAATCATCTTGCCATCCGGAGAGAAAGCAACTGCCTTTACTCCACCTCTATGTCCTTGCAGAGGCTTGCCTATAGCAATTCCAGTGTCCGTATCCCATATCTGCACTGAGCCATCATTTGATCCAGATGCAATACTGTTTCCATCTGGAGAGAAGGCAACTGAGTAGACCCAATCTGTATGCCCTTGAAGAGGGTCACCCATAGGCTTTCCAGTGTTTGCATCCCATATTCTCACTGAGCAGTCATATGATCCAGACACAATCCTTCTTCCATCTGGAGAGAAAGCCACTGAGGAAACCGAGTCTTTATGGCCTTGCAGATGATTCCCTATCTGATTCCTAGTGTCTGTGTCCCATATCCGCACAGAACAGTCTGTGGAGGCAGAAACAATCCTATTGCCATCTGGTGAAAAAGCAACAGAACAGACAGCACCTGTGTGCCCTTGCAGTGGGTTTCCTACTAGATCTTCAGTTTCTGTATCCCAGATCCACACTAACCTGTCTTCTGACCCTGATGCAATTTTCTTGCCATCTGGGGAGAACGCAACTGATACAATGCTCCTAGGTCCTTGCAGAGGTCTCCCCACAGGACTTCCAGTCTCTGTGCTCCATATTTGCACAGAACTGTCCCGTGATGCAGACACAATCTTCTTCCCATCCTGAGAGAAAGCCACTGAAATTACTGGACCTTTGTGTCCTTGCAAAGGCTCACCTATAGCAGCTCCAGTCTCTGTATCCCAGATTCGCACTGACCAGTCAGATGATCCAGATACAAGCCTCTTGCCATCTGGAGAGAAGGCCACTGAGTTAACCCATTCAATATGTCCTCTATACCTCATCTGCTGGAATTTGTTATTGAATCCAGGCACAATATTTTTTTCATCTGGAGAGATGGAAATTGATTGAAACCTGCGTGAAAGCCCCTGCAGTGTAGAATTCTCAGTTTCTGCATCCCATATCCTCACTACTTGGTCCCCTCCTCCGGATGCAATTCTTTTCCCATCTGGTGAGAAAGCTACTGAGTAAACTGGTGATATATGCCCCTCTAGTGGAGTTCCTATGGGATTTCCAGTCTCTGCATCCCACATCCTCACTGAATGATCATCTGATCCAGAGACAATCTTTCTGCCATCTGGAGAAAGGCAATTGAGTTAATTGAGCCTGTATGCCCTTCTAGAGGATCCCCTATTGGATGTCCAGTGTCTGCATCCCATATCTGTACTGTTGAGTGATTCCCAGAAACAATCTTTTTTCCATCTGGAGAGAAAGCAACTGAGAAAACTGAACTTACATATGACTCAACTGGATAATCCTCTATAAGGTATTCAGGGCCTGTGTGCCACATTTGTATTGATTGAATCAATGATCCAGAAGTACTTCCTATAGGATTTCCATCTTCTGTAAGCCATATCTGTACTGAGTGCAACAATGATCCAGATACAACTTTTCTTCCACCTGGAGAGAGAGCAACTGATTGAACATAGCTTGTATTTCCTTTCCCTATAGGACTCTTGGTCTCTACATCCCATATGCATACTGAATCAGAATTGCTTTCTAATCCAGCAACAATTCTCTTTCCATCTGGTGAGAATGCAAGTGACTTAAGTATCCCTGAATGCCCTTGTAGTAGACCTGCCATTAGAGTCTCTGTATCCCATATCCGCACTGACTCAGAATCAAATGATCCAGATGCAATCCATTTTCCATCTGGAGAAAAGGCAACTGTATGAACTGGCTCTGTATGCCCTTCTAGAACATGTGACCCTACAGATTCTCCAGTTGCTGCATCCCATATCCTCACTAAACAGTCTTCTGATGTAGATACAATTCTCTTGCCATCAGGAGAAAAAACTACTGATTCTACAGTGCCTGTGTGTATGCGGATCACAGCTTGTTCACGTGACCATTGTGTCTTGTGCCCTTTGCAAAGTATGGCCAATTTGTGAAAATATGATGCATACACTTCTCGCAGGAGTGAATGCTTGGGCAAAAATGGAAGTGCAGAAACATATAGATGTGGTGTAGATTCTACTATCATACCTGCAAAAATGTACACAAATTGTTTTAACTCTGTACACATGCATTGCAAAGTTGAATAATCTCGGTAACTCTATTCCAGTTCATGTTCATCAGTTCAATGAATATACTCCAATAGTGAATATCTTACCATAGCAAACTGCATCCACTGCATAGTATTTTCCATGCTTGACAAAACTATCTGAATTTTGTGAAGGATGCCAAGAACCTCCATCCAATACAATGAGCATTGAAATAAAAATTCTGAGACCAGGTCCAGCATTTTTATATTACTGGGAGTTTGGAAAAGATGTTTATCCCAGAAGCAACAAGCATATGACAACTCAGGTGACAGACAACCAGTAATAAGAGATTATAGGTTTT